TGCAGAGTTTTAAACACATCACTTACTGCTTTGACTCATGGTGACAAACCTCCAGCGTTGGATCGTTATAGATGAAAGCTGCTTCCAAATCGTTGACTCTTACTCTGTAAATCCGGCATTGTTTACTGTTCAGTTTGATTCTATTCAGGTTTGCAACTGTAGGAAATATTGTCAGTTCCACGTAACCCTATGAAAACACAAATTAAAACCTTCTTTAAAATCTTTACCAACTCACAAAGTAGAAATATATATATATATATATATAAAATCTTATTAATGCATTTGAAAGGAACATCATAGGTAAAATGGTAATTTTTAATGTAAGAAGGAAATCGGTTTGCCTGTTTATATGTCTGGAATACATTTTTTTTCATACCATTTAATAGGTGAAATAAAACAACTGTGAAAAAAAAACAAAACAAAAAACTTCAACATGACTGACAATCATGCTTGTTTTACTGCCTCTATTGATTAGATTTCAAGTTATTAGCATCGCTATGTGTTTTAGGTTTTGGTATCCAAGCTTGAGACCATGACTTTTAAAACCTAAGCAGATTCCACTTCGGCAGGTATCTGAATTCACAAAAAGCCTCAATGACCTCAGGCCTGAAATCATGAAAGCCTCTTCAAAGCCCTAGTGAACTCACATATAAGTTAGAAGAAAACTCTGTAACATTATCCTTAACATCAACTAACACAGTGTTGAACATCAATTTTGCATTGCTAATTGCTCTGTAATATTATTTATTATGCAGTGACCTTCTTTTAGAAAGCTTTTGCTTGCAGAGAATGAAGTACTCACAATTAGTTGAAGCATCTCAAGGAATAATGAATTTATGAGAGGCACCAAATTAGAAAGTATAAAATATAAAGAAGCTGTACAACTTAATTAGCTTGTGTATGCAGTTGCTTCCTCTAAAAGCATGAAGAAAATCCAGACTTTTAATTTCCACACATTTTATTTAAAAATACTTACTACAACAGACTTTCTCTGAAAATTTATGTTGTTGATACAAACTACTTGGTGAGTTGTGCTGGAAAAAAAAAAAATTAAAATAAGTAAGGTTTTGCACAAATGCCAGCATTTAAAATAATATTTTAACCCAGTTTTTTTAAAAAAATAGAAAGCTCATATAGGATATATATACATATAGATAAATACTGCATATTGCATATATTTATATAGGAAGAACTCACAATGGTCTAAATCTCTTATGTGGTCCAAAACAAATAATCAACAGAAATTGCATACAAGGTCAGAAAAGTTCTAATAAAATCAAAGTATAGTATCATACCAGTATGAATACTATGAGTAACACAGGATGATAATATCACTTTTTAAGAGTATGTAAAAATATAGTATTACTAATGGCACAGAATCAAGTTCTAACACTTTAGTGATCTGCAGTATTTGAAACAGCCCACAGCTGTAATGTTTGCAGAGACCTGTGGAAAATTTACCTGGGGAGCTGACTCTCATACACAATTTATGTAAGCAGGTACTATAAATGAAAAAAGATATAGTATGTGCTTTTACAATTAGTATGTCATAATTTATTATTTTAAATAATGATCATTATTAATCAAGACAGGTCAAATGCATTTGCTTAAGTTTTGAATGACATATTAATACTCCTGATAGATAAAATTCTGTTTTAAAAAATGGAAGATAAACTAGTAATTTGAACCTTTTTAAAACTTTAAAGTTATTTCTGTAGTAGGTGGCATCTTCACCACACTTCACAGTAGGACAAATTATGACTCAAGATAGAGCCTTGCAATAATTCAACTTTTATCCCTCATCAAACATTGTATGCACATACTTATGTACCCTGTGCACTAAAAAGTGACTTTGCTTCAGTCGAGGAAGTTAAATAGAAATTCCTACAAGAGAATGGTAACATCTACTGACAGATTCAAACATTACCAAATACATTAAAATGTATACAATAACAAGAGTGATTCTAGTTAGAAATACATTTGTGTTACAGATTTCTAAAGAAATCAACGAGGTGTAAACAGAAACACACAAAGACTCACTGAAATCCACAACCAACTGGTTTAGAGCTTGGTTATGACTGAAATAATGGATGTGTAAAAATAGCAATTTGCTTAACAAAGCTGCTTGCCACAAATGCAAGCATTTTTTATATACAGAAAAGCCCTTAAGTCAAAAGGGTTTGACACAGCAGTAGGAATGAAACACAGTAGCATGGTCTGTAGTGCTGATACTGTCTGGAGAGATCGCTGAGGTTTGGAGAGCACCTTTTAAGTATCTTTATAAAATGAGACTGCACTCTTGGACTCACTGTCCATGAGTGAATCAATTTACACAATAAAACACACACCTAAAATACACATTTTCTGAATTCAAGCTACACCATTAGCAACAGTTCCAAGCTCCTCAGGTTACTGAATTACTGATCAGCCTGTGGCCTGTTTCAACTACGCATTGGTCTCAAGAATAGCAACTTTAAAAAAAATGGATACTTATAATTTATAAGGTCTTGGGCTCTCAAATCCTTTGTCTCCTTTCTTCCTATTCATCCTGAACAGCAGCACTAAACACACACTGCTGACGATCAGACCGGCATCAACATCATCCTCACTCGATGGGTCCTTCGAGTTTTCCCTGTGTCAGGTTGTGTTTGATCATTCATCTCCCCAGTGGATCTGTGACTCCCAACAGTCAGGCATCTTCGGCTCGAATAAGCACCATAGCAGTAACACAGAAAACATCCAGTCTTTCTACATAACCCTTTACGGGTGCAGCACACAACCCCTCTCTCCACGATACCAGTTCCGAGGCGCTGCCCGCTCCCTTTCCGCAGAAGCTGTGTAGATCAACCGGCTCAAGGGGCAGCGCAGGCGGGAGCTACCGACTGGGGAAGGCCGCAGCCGGGCGGGCACGGCCGAGGGGTCCCCGCTCCACGGAGAACCGGCTTGGGAAGCACCCTCGGCTGACAGGCGGGAGAGGCGGTGCCGGGGGGCGAGTGGGCCGCGACGGGGAGCGCAGGCGGCGCCGCAGAGCCCCTCCACGGCCCGGGCCTTACGGTCGCTGCGGACGCGGGCGCTGCTCGGGGCTGGTTCTCCTCCGGGGCAGTCGGCTGGAGCCAGCCGGCATGGAGGGCAGGGGCGGCCCACCGGCACGGCGCGGGATTCCCCTCAGCAAGGTGCCCGCCGGCCGCCGCCAACGCTCTCCCCCTCAGCAGCAGCCGCCGCCATTTTACTGGCGACCTCTGACTCCGCGCGGTTGAAAGGTCACCGATCTTTTAACGGAGATTGCTTTCTTTAAGACTAGAAATTCTTTTGGACTTTTTTTTTTCAGAAAGGTGATTTACCGCTATCAGAGGCAGTCATAGGCAATATAGAAAAAAAAAAAAATCCAAAATATTCCAAAGGAGATAGACGGGGCCAGGTCACGGGCTCGTGCGCATGCGCCCTCCCGGCAGCCAGCGCGGGGGCGGGGCCTGAGGGCGGCGGGAAGCGGGGATCCGGAGGTGGGGGCGCTGGGGCCGCCGCTCACCGGCGCGGCGGAGCAGCCTTTCGGTTCCCGGTTACAGCTCGGGTTCGACGCTAAGCGCAGCGGTGCTCTCGGCTTCCCGCTTCCCGGTTGGTGGGGCTCTCGGCGGACACGGGATCGCCAGCCCGGGGGAGGTCGCGGCCCTCACCTCCCAGGTCGCCGCCGTAATGGCGGCTGTACCGCTGCGAAACCTAGGGGGGGCGCCCTCCGGCTCACGCCCCCCTGAGCCTCCTGCTGCCTGTGCCCGCCCGTGGCTGACAAAACATTAAATCCACCTGGACTTACTGAGGCGTTGGTTACCAGAGAGCACCCAACGCGGGCTCACAGGTGGGAACCAAAAAGGGATTTCACAGAGTAACGAGGCTGCTGGACACGTAGCACAGAGCCACAAAGTGGGCATAGGTCCAATGGCCTCTTCCCTCCCACCCTGAGGGTGCTGGGCAGTGTCAGGAGAACACAATATGAAGTTTCTTCGTAACCTAGATTTCATAGAATCATAAATCATCCAGTTCCACACACACCCCCCCGGCCATGGGCAAGGACACCTCCCACCAGAGCAGGTTGCTCAAAGCCCCATCCAGCCTGGCCTTGAACACCTCCAGGGATGGGGAACCCACAGCTTCTCCGGGCAACCTGTTCCAGTGTCTCACCACCCTCAGAGGAAAGAATCTCTCCTAGTATCTAATTTAAATCTACCCTCTCCCAGTTTGAAGCCATCAGCCCTTGTCCTATCATTACATGTCCCTTCCCATCTTTCCTGTAGGCCCCCTTTAAGTACTTTAAAGGCAACAATAAGGGTTCCCTGAATCCTCCTCCAGGCTGAACAACCACAGCTCCCTCAGCCTGTCCTCACAGGAGAGGTGCTCCAGCCCTCTGGATCATCAGTTTGTTCTATTATAAGCAAGTTTCGATTCATCTATTTCATGTTACAATAAATGCTTGCATCAAAAAAACCCAAACTAGTAAGAGTTAGACCTTTCACCATCAGCAGTTCTTGTAATTTAGAAAGAAGCATCTCATTTTCAATGTGTAACAAAACTAACTAGAAGCACTGTGAACATATAGAATGATTATGCATGCAAAAATAATTTAGATAAACCTGATCCATTACCTAGGCATTACTATACAGCCCTACTCATTTCACAAACAAAACCCAATGTAAAAGTACCCTGTGGTATCACAGACTACAAGACTAGTAAGTGTCTTGTATATTTCAACTAAGAAACCTTCTACCATGCAATGAAGTTCTTTCCAAGGCTTCCACATTCCTATTACCACTGATGTCTCCAAGACAGAGCCTTCTACTAAAGGAGACCGCAGCTGCTGAGACCAGGCCGTGACCAAGGGAATTCCTCCTGGCAGGGCTGTTACACGCCAGCTGAGTCTGCACAACTAGGTCAGACCCCACACTTGCACAGCTCGGAGCTGTGGAGCGCAGGGAACTGATCTTGCATCAACGGGCAAAAATAAGCAGAGCTCAGGAAGTCAATTTTATTCAGGTTTTGACCTATAACAAAATTCCAAGGATGCACACATCCATCTTACAAATTACATTTGATTCATGGTTTCTCTCCTCTCCTCATTCACCCTACACTCGGCACGCTAGCAATTCTGAAGGTTTTCATATCTTACATCTCAGTTTGATGCAGCAAATGCTTTTTGTATAAAAAAAACACACCCTACAATTGTTAAGTTAAAAAAAATTGTGAATAGTGTCTAATATTAACCTTTGGTTCACTGACTAATGCAAACAATCGTTTTTAATGATTACACAATTTCAAATATCAGGCACTCCACTTTATGACAATATTATAAATATATCCTGTTTCATGCAGAACAATATTCCACCTAAGTTTTCAAGGCACAATGTCTATGTGCAGTTATTTGCTATAAAAAAAGTTTTTTGAAAATAATCATGTTACAAAGTTTTATAAGTTCTCTTTAAAAAGCAAAGGCAGTCTTCTGTAAAACATTAGTTCTACCACAGCTACATTCTAAAGGCACTTTACAGGAAGTTCATAACATAATGTTCAACTATTCTCTCATACCTTCACACTTGATTGCAATTTGGTTTTTTGTAGAATTGCCTCTTAAATATTACAAGTGTCAAGAGCTCATGCCAATGTTATGCACAGAAATGACCATAAAAAGAATCATCTTCCAAAATTAAGACTAGTGTCATCTTAGTCTGGAATAACTTGTTCATGAGCCTGTCAAAGTCTGCACCATTCAAAATGGCAACACTGCAACGAAATCTTCAAGAATGCTCACTAATGCAAAACACTAACATTCCATTTTGCTGTTGAAATCAATTCAATTGATTTAATTATTATCAAGGAGGTTTTAATTTTTAATGTCAGACCAGTTTATGGACAGCTAGAGTGTATTCAAGAATTAGCTTGACTGCTGGCCTAACTGCAGACACAAAGGAAAAGGAAGGGGGGCTGAGGGGGGTGGGCTGCTGATGCTGTAGTTTCTTAGAAGAGGCAGGTGCCCTCACATTCTATTTAGCTGAGCAGAAAATAAAACTCGTGCAAGAAACTTAGCTCCTGAAATTCAAGAACACTGCAATACCAGTTGAGAAGTCCTTTCCCCAGAAGGCAGCAAGAAGCAACATTCACTGTTACTCCGTCCAGTATCCTCAGTTCTTAAAACAGTATTTGTTATGAGATGGGTCTTCTAGAATTATAAACTTTAACACCATTCTGCATTGAGGAGCGAGCGTATTTTGTCAGAAGAGCACCAACTGTCTGCTTCTCTGCACAGAGGTCTCTACAGAGGGAAGAAAGCAGAAGACATGGGCATTACAGATATTCCCATGCACAATGAATCCATAAAATACTTGTAAATACAGCAATAAAATGGATTAGGGTATTGGGAGAATAGAAAAAAAACCAACAAAAAACTACTGTAACCGTCACATAATGCTTTAAATTACCTAAAGCTTAGGACTTTGCTTTGACATTTAAGTAACAGGAGAAACTACATTGTTTACTTCAGAAACAAGGATTTGAGGTTGGGGGGAGGTAGTTGGTTTTCATTATTACTGTTCCCTAAAGGCTCTCAAATATAGCAAAATGGTTAGCTTTGAAATACTTCATTATATTACAGTAAATTTAGAGCCACTCATAAAGGTTTGATGCAGCTACTTCTGGGTTACCATCTGTATCCGCTCACATATTCCCTGGCTGGGCTTCCAGACAGCATGGCAGCGTGTGTTACCCACCAAAAGACAAAGGACATGGTACAGGAAGCACTTGTTGCTCTATAGTTCTTGTGTTGTAAATAGGCTGATTATAAATGTCAGGAGGTTCATGATTTGAGCTAAGTCTGCCTCAATCAAATAAGACACAGTTATCGTCTATTTAAATTTAGGAGGATCAGCTTTTTACACAAGTTTAAATCCAATGAATCCAGCTACAGTTCCCAGGGGTGGGGATTCTATTCATATATCTTCACATTCACTTAAAATGGAGGGAGGCAATCATAGCTGGTAAGAAGTCAGCTATGCAAAAAGGGGAGAATATAACACTAATTATATTTTAATAAAAAGAAATACATCCTTACTGTATATAAGGGGTAATATCCACTTCTGTCCACTTTTCCCGTATGCTGAATAAGCTGTTGAATCTTTCCTGATTGTCTTCAGGTAAGTCTTCTACTTTTAGCAGAAAGATGGTCTCTGGCCTTGAGGTTTTATCCACAAGAGCCAAGCCCTGTAATTAGCATCAGAGAGAAAGTGTTAGAGACAAAACAATTACATTTCCTCCTTTCTGGCAATAACCCATACAAGTTGCCCTTTGCATCTCCAAAGCCACCCAAAACTGCACTACCAGAGGCAAAGTGAAAAAGTATCATAAAGTTGCTCTTTTCCAGGCACTTTTGATCGTCTCCTTTATGACAAGAAGGGAATGGGAAATCCATTAAGTCCCCAACAGCTATGTCTCCTTTGAGCAGAAGGATTTCCATAGCGCTTGCTACTCTACTGGCTGTCACTACAGTCTGCTCAACAACAGCTTCAGCTTCTGTTCTAGTTACATTTACAAGTATTAACTGTACAGCTGCACATTTTCTTCAGTGAACCATGCCAGACTTACAGAAAGTGGAATTGGCATGATTCCAGGCTACTGAGGCTCATAAAGGATGTCATAGGCTGTCTTTAACTCAAAAGCTGACAGAAATAACACAATCAATCCCCATTAATCAATAAAATCCATATGTGACACAAGTCAGTTAACAGCCTACTCCCGGAAGAATCCACGCCTCTTTATGTTTTTACCTTAAGCTGATCAAGCCTTGCTGTCATCCCTTCAGGGACACTTTGTTGCCAAACTTCTTGGAACTCTGAGAGATTGAATTTAACTGCATTTTGCAAAAGCATTTGTGCTATAGCTCTGCATATTTTATCTTCATGCATTTCAAAGTAAACGTCCCCTGCTGAGAAATAAAAAAAACAGTGTATCTTAGGTTCTTGCTTTTTGATAAAAGAACAGAGAACAGCCTCTTATTTCCATTCTGTTCTACAGTTTTCTATGAACCAAGTATCCTGTTTTTTCTTTTCCCTTGGGAGTAACCCGACTTGGTATTACTTTGGATAAATGATGGTATCTTCTCATTCTCAAAAACAAATTAAACAGCATATTATGTGTGTGTGCAGCACTGTCTGAGCTACAGTATTCATTCATATCAAGAAATTTATTTCCTCCCATCTTTTCCCCTTTCACAGTAACATTGTTTCTCCTACAGCTTTCATTCCTATTTCTGAATGGTTTGTATTAAAGTGTTTGCTGTCTGCGGCTGAACAATCAAACAAAACCTTCACTTCCTTAATCACCCCCCTTGTAATACGAGATGATGAAGGGAATAATGAGAATTTATTTTCTTTCATACTGACTTGGCTAAAATTCTCTGAACAATGCCAAGCATAAACACTTCCTTCCACTTTTCCAGTCATCTGGACTTCCTGCAATTCTAACTTGTGCCTTGTCCAACCTGCCTAAATACTCTAAGTAGTATTGTACAGACTTCAATCTAATAGTGGGACTATTGTATTAGTCAATACAATTGATGGATATTGTGGCGCACTACAGGGGACCAAAGGCAGACATCTACTTCAGGCAAGCTGAATTCAGGGAGATCTACATGCCACTGACTATTCACAATAGCATGTGTTTAAGCAATTAATTGTGTTATCTGAGACCTTCCGCGACATTCCATCTAAACTTTACAAGTGATCTGTCTTTATTCACAAAATTATGGCTTGTAGACATCTAATAAATCACTTCAGGTACCTCTGATAGTTCCTGATTTTCCCATCTTATACAGTTTAATAGTCCTTTTTCCTATGAAGCTTTCTCTAACAATTTTACTGATTTTTAGCTCACTGTTTGCTCCCTCCTTTTTATGCAAAATTAAAACATGCATGCTTCCCCAAACTTACCATCATCAATGTATCTCCTTCCATAGCTTAAAAGAATATGTTCTATCATCTCTCTGAGAAGAAAAAAATCAGAAATCAAGTATGAAGTAACGGGTAAAGTAAAAAAATCAAGGAGAATGGAGGATGGGACACGTCTTCACGGTTGAACTAAACAAATTGATAAAAACTTAGAAGTGAGTTAAATGAGGAGAAAAAAGAACGAGAAGGACAGATGGGAGTTAATTCAGCACGATACCCCCAAAAGTCTCTCCCACTTTCTAGTTATAACTAGCAAAGACTAAAAGGTCTGATCAAAAATATAGACTAAAAGGTCTGATCACGAGAAGTGATGCAAGTACAAACTTGGCAGTTAATTATCCCTTACTGAACAGCAGGCACTTTTCTAGACCCCTGGCATAAATTTACAGCCTAACTGCAGACATTAATACTAACGCAAGATTTCTTTTGGGCCAAAAGCCAAATAAATGCAAAACGCCACATACTGTAAACTGAAGACCTTATCTGAACAATAACCTTAAATTATTTCACGACTCCAAATGGCAATACAATAAACTCAGCTTTTGAATCTGAATTAAGTATTACACCAGAAAATAGATCACAATCTCAGACATTACACAAGAGGCAAACAAAACATTTTTGGCTATTTATAGCTTCAGAACAAATATTTCAACATGGTCAGCAAGTTATGGCTTAAGTACATGCTACTTCATTTACAATTCAGCAGCAACGTTTACAGTATTGAATTACCTACAGACACTGAAATCAGTTCACTAACCTGTCTGTCTAGAGCACTAATGCTCTTGTATATTTTAGAGCCAAAGAACATATAACGTTAACAACATGGTAACTGGAATCTAGAGTTATAAGACTATAATTCTAATAAATAATTAATAATGATTGCAATTGGTAATAGTTAATAATAACTGTCAACAATTTTCAGCACTAAAAGTAATTGCTTACGTGGGCTCTAAAGATCCAAGTTCCTCAAGGCAGGTACGTAAAGGAACCTTACTTAAAGACCAGGACTCTGAGTCTATAAGTTGAGTCACATGATTCAAGAGCTTCATCTCATAGTCAAATTCTAGAATTCTCCAGTATCCTGCCAAACAGAAAACCACAAGACAGTGGAAAACATTAACACCTTAATGCTATTCCTCTGAAGATACATTACAGGAGTCTGGACATTAAGTCACACCTTTACAAAGTACAGCAGCAGCATTCTGTCTTTTTCGGGATTAAAATTGAGAAAAAGAACAGAATAGTAAGAGCAAATGTAAAGGAGAAATAAATAAAATGATCTCAATTATTCAGAACTGCTTATGTAGATTAACTGCCATAGATACAATTACACTACAAATCCCATCTCAAGATTAATCAGATCTGGAAAAGCTAGTGATTAATTCAGACACAGAACTGCATAAACAGAACTGACTGCAGTTCAGGTCCAGCCAAGTCTGCAGAACTCCAGATCCGGTACAACGGTGCTGCGTAGCTGTAAACGACAAGGAAAGTCATCAGTGAGCTCCTCACCTACCTAATGGGATGGTATAGAGAAGACAGAGCAGAAGCCTTCCCAGTGGTGCTCAGTGACGGGACAGGAGGCAACAAGTACAATTTGCAATATGGGAAGTCCCAGCTGGTTATTAGGAGAATTTTTTCCCCTTGCAGATAGTCAAACACTGGAACAGCCTGGACAAGAGATGGTGCAATCCCCATCCTTGGAAACGCTCAGAACTCAACCAACTGAGGCTCTGAGCAGCCAACACCAAGTTCTAAACGAGGGCTTTGGATCCCATAACTACCAGAGCTCAGTTCTGCCCTGTATTATTCTATGACTCCAGGACTGCTACCACCTGGTGTCCAGGTAAGGGTTTGGGCTTGGCCAAGTAAAGGATGAAGAAGACCTGACCCAAGGTGAGGCACTTGCTCCAGCCTTGCCTCACACAGTAAGAAGACTTCTGAGATAAACCCAGTCTGGGAGAAAGAAAGGACTATGAAAGTGCTGAGGTTACCTAAGGATCAGCTGGTTTTGCCTCTAGAACTGCAGAATGCAGCACCCACTCATCCATGAAGATGGGAACCAGCCAAAATATACTCATGCTATGGGTGGGATACTCTTGATGTCAGCGTTTGTAGAAGCAAAGAAGGAATTAACCTGGAAAGAGCTAAACTGGTCGATGCCTGCTGTTTTATATTTTTGATCAGCTTCACAGCAGCAAAGGATATAGAAAATATAGAAGCAGATCTTAGTACTTTGAAGTAACTTGCACCTTGAAAGACAAGGATGTGGAACAGGCCTTAGAAAAAGGAGACAAATACTTTGGGGGGAAAAAAAGCAGGGTTATTTCCCTATTAGGCAATAATATTCTTTAGAGATTAATACCTTCAATTTTGCAGGCATTTATAACCTGCAATTGATGCAGTATTTCTTCTTCACTTGCTTGAATCAGACTTAACAAATCTTCTGTTGTATACTGCAACAAGGGAGAAAAAGAAGGAAATAAAACAGATTGCCCTTACTCCTCCTTTGCTTCAGCAAGCATGCTAAATGCATTATAAGATATAATGAAAGACAGACTTAGAAAATCGGTATTTTTCCCCCAGACTCTGAATTTGCTAAGGTTTACCACACTCTCTGAAACCTTTCCTATAACTTACAACATTTTCTCAAAGAGTTATTCAATATAAAAGCCAGTCTAACTACAAGTTGATCAGTCCTCGAACTAGGCACTTACGTTTGCCAAGACATAGACATCTTTTTATAAAATTCATTTAATATTATCAGTAAATACTATTGCACATGACATCTTTTTGTGTTGCTAGCCTTTGCCAATACTTATAATTTCTGGACAATTTAAACCCTTTTCCCTCTGCCATCCCTTATTATGCTGCGATGTCCTTTTACACCTAGACCAGAATAGGTAGGAAAAATGAAAGGGGAAAAAGCCAATGCTGGGGGAAAGACTCTGAAACTTATCAGAAACTGGACTGTTAATCACCCAGAGAGGGGCAGCTTTTTCCTTGAAGGGAGAAAAGCAACACCCGTGTTTCTACATGCAAGCACACACAGATGGTTTGTTAGTATCAGCTTCAGCAAAGCCTCAGCATAAAATACTTTGGAGCAACTGTTTGTTTTTTGAAGTCAAAAGGAAAACCCGAACTAACAAAACTCCAGGATTTTTATAAGCCTTTTAGCTGAGATCATATGCTGCATAGTCTACATTTCTCCATTAGTAATTAGATCCTCTTTTTACTAAAAAAAGGTCGCTTACACATGCTACTTGGTGGAAGTGGTAATAATTACCGACTCGTTTAGAATAGTAAGCTTAAAAATTAACTCCAAGCAGCACTGTGGAACATGGTATTTTTCTAGTTAAGAATATATATTCACTGCAATTTGCCAATTACCAATTACAAGAAAGTCATTTACATAGCAGACTCACCTTTGAAAATGTCAAAGTCTGATCTTTGTGGCTATCTGGCCCTTCATATGGATCTTCCATTAAAAGCTGTCTCAGTTTCTTCAGTTTAGGTCGGCATCTCCTTAATTCCCAGTAGTTATTGGAGAAGCCAGCAATCTACAAGAAAAAACAGTGACTCTTGAAACATTTTAATCTACTACCAAAAATTATCAACAAAAAGTATTAATCTAGTCACTGACAACAAGAATTTCTTAGTAGGGTAATTACTTTAAAGATGAAACAATCATTGTAATATTTTTCAATACAAAAATTTACTGGAGGGAAAGAAGAACAAAAATCCACTGCTGGTTGATAAAAATACACTCAATAGTGCACTTGACAAAGGGAACAAGTCATCTCACATGCAAACAATAGACTATCAACATGGGATATGTTCCTGCACAATTCTCATCAACAGTTCTTTTTCTCTTAACACTAAGTTATATTTCTGCCATAAAACCCTTCCTGTATTATCCCGTTTCTATCATCTTCCCCACTTCTTCCCATGCTTGGGATCTACCTCAAGGTCTTTTTACACCTTAATGAATCATCTTATCACTAAGCTCAAGTGAAACAGACATTAACGAGACACCAAGCTACACTTGCACACAACTAATAAGCCATCTCTGTTCCTTACTCTGATTCAATTCACAAATTTGAAGTGTGCAACAGGAAGTTCTAGTGCAATCAATTAAAAAACACTAACCTACTAAAACTTTACTTTCAGAGTAATCCTGAAGTTTTTCATGGCATACAGCTCAGACTTCCTAGAAGATTCTTTGAAGAGGAAAGTGTATCAGGGGGCTTTCAGCATTGCTTCTGCTATTTACCAAACCAACAGAAGTGGGTACAGAATGGTAGAGGCAGAACAGGCTCCAGGTTTGTGACTCCTGACCCAACCACTAGCCCCTTGTAGAAGAAGTCTTATCCAAATTCTAATAAAGAGAAAGCTCTCAGTTTTTAATCTAACTATTCCACAGCTTGCTTGGCAAAAAATTCAGGTAAACACTAATTTCCTGATAAACTTCTCAGGTTTCTTTTTTTCCCCTCCATATCAAAGAGCATTTATACAAGTGTTGGATATTTTTTTTCTGCTATGTTCTTTTCTGAATAATTTGGTAATGAACAAGAAGGTACTCTGCATAGAAAAGAAGGTAAGTAATTCTAATTTATAAACCAAAGCTCATAACTGGAGCTGCTCTGTGTGAGGTGAGCAAAATGGCAGATGCTCTGGCTATGAGTATTACCCTTGCAAGTGGCACAAAGAGCAGCACCAAGACTGCAGAAGAAAGGCAGTTAAATTAAAAAAAAAAAAAAAGTCTGAGTAAACATAGTATCTTATGCTATGTTTCACAATTTGCAGTATCAATACACCACATAATGTTTTTGAAAACATTAAGAAAGCTCTTAGAAATAAAACTCTACAAATAATTCCTCAGCAAAATCGCATTTATGTTATGCTGACGTGTGACTTCAGAGGGCTAGTAAGATCATTAAACATAACCAAAAAGAACATGGAATAATATTACTTTCTCATTAATCTCTTAGTTCGAATTATCTATTAGCTGAACTGCTGACTTCACAGAAGAAATTATGTTGGTTTGATTATGTTCATCTAAGGACAAGCAGGATTAGTCCTCAATGATGTCATTATATTCACTACAGCAAATAATGACTTAACTATTTTTAGTAAAATTTTATTAACTATGCTTCAGAAGAGTAGAGAATTTTAGAGTAGAAAACTCTAAAATCATTCACTCCAACAAATCGTTCCAGATGCGAGTTGAATAAATCACCTTGGAATATATTCCTATATTTAAAAAAAAATATATATTCAGGCACGACATGGTATCATCTACCTTTTGGCTAAAGCACTCCTAAGAATCAATTTGCAAACAGCTTATTTTAAAAATAGTTGCTAACACTGACAAATTAGACTTTCTTTGAAAGCTTTTAATACCTACCACAAGTAATTACTATCCACTGAAAATAAACTGAAGTTTTAACTTCTTAGAAACAATAATTATCATACATTATGGATAAAGTTCAGTCGCCTAAAGAAGGGCCCTAGAGCCATTTTGGATACCCCAAGGTATAACATGCCCCCTGTGTATAAAGCTTATTTATAAAGGCATCCTTCTGGGGCTGTTCAATATACAAAGAACCTACAGGAGACTCACGTCCTTCTGGAGTGGCAGCTCGAAGTTAGACCAATACCACAAGGCATCTAAAATGGCATTAGTAGCCTATGTTTAGGCAACTGAATCCCAGCTGGGTTTCACATAAGCATCTTGAATAAAATACAAGAAATTATAGAGAATAGGAAAGTAGAGAATTAAAGCAAACAAACAAAAACCCAGAGAGACATACCTGTGAATGAATAATATCACAAGATGCTTGATCTGCATTCAGCTGTTCTGGAGTTTTGCAACCAGGAATAAACAGCAACATATTTGAGGTATCTGCTATTTTCATGTCGTAGGTTTTATCTTTGCTGCACAACACTGCTTGTTCATCCTTTTCGCCACGGATTACCAGGCTGAAAAAAAAAATAGCACAAAAATAAAGTCGTATTTTTACCTCTTTTAAGACCGCAATTTTATTTGGTGGCAGCAGTCACAGTATACCAAAATATAAAGACGTAATTGTCAATTAATCTAAAATATCTATCTGTTAATCTAAATATATGCTTTTCCTCTCCTTTTTCAGTTTTCCCACTCTGAAAGACAAATATTCAAGGTGTTTACGCAGATCACATTCAAGCCTCCTCATCTGCCTTTTCACACAAAAACACATAGAACATCAATTAGGTGATGCTTAAAGCCTGAACTAGTTCACTAATCTTAGAAATTAGATTACAACTAGAATTGTTCTTTAATAACATGTTTTAATTTGGTCAGCCCTGAAGTGGTTAGCCAGTTGGACTAGATGATCATTGTAGGTCCCTTCCAACTGAAATAGCGTATTCTACTTTTAACAAAGACTGAAACTGACCCATTGTGCAATGAGAAAGCAAACAGAAATTGTGTCTGTTGTGCAGCATCCTTCAGATAATTCCCTCTCAAAAACATATGAATCTTCTTGCAAGTAATTACAAGCAGGAAAGAAAAACACCTTTTAGAGCATTTCAGTACAAAGAATTAATGCAAACCCCCCCTTTTGAGCTCACACACTTGATTAAGTACACATTCTTAGTGAGGACATGATAACACCAAAGCAGGACAACAACGGGGGAACATTCAGCTCCTCCCAGGCTACACTAAATTAAGTGCTCAAATTAAATTAAATCAAACCATTCATCTTGCTTGCAAAAGCTCGCATGCATCAACAAAGTTCAGCTGTGCCCCAAGTGGTTCCCATGGCTCAGGCCTCTAACCAATGTCACTATCAATATTGCACTGAGTATGGACAGGCTTAATAACATACATCTCTGAGGACAATTTGCTTTAGAGGGTGTTCTAAAGTTGTATAATTTTAAACATTTTTATTATGTCACTGGCATTGCAGCAAATAAATTAATTTTAAAACAGGGTATCAAAAGCTTATCCAGAATCTGCTCTTGGATCAGTTAGATGTTGTACCAAATGCCTGTGACTAATACTGTACATCCTTTGCTGTCCTGTCTGTCTAACTTGTAGGGACCCTGCCATCCACCCGACCTCAAGAGCTCCAGAAGGAACGTCTGAAAATCAGTGGGATTTTTTTGAAGACGTAATGTCCTTTCCTAACCCCAAATTTTTAGCCATCTATCTTCCTGTGCCCAGCAATAATCTTTCTTCAGCTTTGGTCTCCTCAGAAGCAATTATTCTATATTAGAAAGAAAAAATAAAAAGAAAAGTGAGCAATACAACAGCCTACAGAAGTGGGAAACTGTGTTATTGAAGGTGGTCCTCTGATTAAATACTCTATCGGATTGAACAGGCTGGGAGCAGGACCCAAAGGTGCTTTCTGGCCTCATCACTGACTCACGCTGTAGGGATGCATAAACCATCCCCAGAACCTTTTTAACCTTTTTTTTCTAATTATTATTTTTTTAATGCATACAATTATTTTGCTGAAATCATCTAAACGTATTACAAATACCCAGCACAAAGTGCTGGTTAGTGTTTCCTTCATCCGGCTTCCTACAGCTGTGACAACTTTTCCAGGTTTAAGGGACGACAGGAACCAGGTAAAAAGAATAAAAAAATCTGAAGGGCAAAAACAAAAAAAACAACACATTTAAAATCCCTGTCAGTTACTTAACGCTCAAGATGGGACAGGGGGCGGCCCCTGGAAGCGGGGAGGGACCCATCCCCACCCGACCACCCCAGGCACGGGAAAAACTCCAGGCTCTCGCCCCGGAGCGGGCCTGTCCCGGTCCCTCAAGCCTTTCTCCGGTCGCCATGGTGGCCACTAGGCCCTGAACTGCGACAAGGCCTGGGGGGGGG